ACGCTGACGCACACACACACACACACACTGACACACACACACACACACACTGACACTGACTGACACACGCTGACGCACACACACACACACACACACACGCTGACACACACACGCTGACACACACACGCTGACACACACACACACACACACACACTGACACACGCGCACACACACACACTGACGCTGACTGACACACGCTGACGCACACACACACGCTGACACACACACACACACACACACACACACTGACACACGCACACACACACACTGACACTGACTGACACACGCTGACGCACACACACACACACACACACACACACGCTGACACACACACACACACACACACACACACTGACACACACACACACACACACACTGACGCTGACTGACACACACTGACACACGCACACACACACACTGACACTGACTGACACACGCTGACGCTGACTGACACACGCTGACACACACACACACACACACACACACAGCAGCAGGGGTGTAAATCACCGCCATCATGGCGATTCCATTCAGTATCGACCTCCTGACCCAACGATTCCATTATTTTCATACTCAAGAATAAACCACGATACGATTCGATTAATTGGTTCCTTCATTATATTTTATTTTTACCTTACAGGCTCCAGACGTCCCGCCCCCTCCGCCGCCACGCCGCTGAACCTCGCCCAAATATTAGCTGACCGCAGAGAGCGCCGCAGACACGAGGTTAGCTTGTTTTGTTTTTATGACCGAAATTGCGGAAACAACTCTTGAAGTTTGACCCGCTAGCAGAGCGAGGTGCGCGAGAACGCTGGGACCCTTTTTCCACCTGGATCTCCGCCCTTTTCGCCGCTATTTCATGTCCCTCCGTCGTCGGACACTTCCTCGCCGCCTCGGCCGTATCTAGACCCACAGCGTATAGAGCAGACCACGCTTCAATATTGAGCATAAATCACAAATGTGACAAAAATGACACACTGCTGCAGGAGGGTAACCAGGAAGCGAGGTAGGAGGCGAAATAGGTTTAGCGCCACCGCAGCACGGGAGGGAGAATTACGCCCAGGAGCAAATGGATAAAAATAGGCCGGAGGAAAAAAAAAAAACATGAATCGATTCTCTGGCAGACGTATCGATGCATCGGATCGTCGGCTGTTGGATCGATACTAAACGATGATTATTTACACCCCTAGATCAGACTGGGCCTTACCCCGGTGCTGGTGGTCACTCTGGCGTTCCGGGTGTTCTCTCCCATCCCAGACACCATCTGCTGGACCGTCATCTGCTTAGAGGAACATCACACAGAACTTTAGACCCAGCAGAAGCTTCAGACCTACAGCAGCTCCTCTAACCCAGCAGCTCCTCTAACCCAGCAGCTCCTCTAACCCAGCAGCTCCTCTAACCCAGCAGCTCCTCTAACCCAGCAGCTCCTCTAACCCAGCAGCTCCTCTAACCCAGCAGCTCCTCTAACCCAGCAGCTCCTCTAACCCAGCAGAACCGTCAGACCTACAGCCCGGTTCAGAGGGACCGCCCAGCTCAGGTTCAGAGGGACCGGCTGGTTCAGAGGAGGGTTAAAGTTCTTCCGATTTAACTAGTTTGTTTGTTGTCAGGACATTTGGAGAACCTGACAGCACCAGGGAACCAAACCAAGGAAGACCAGCAGGAGAACCACAGAGACACTGGAGGAGCTGATGAGGAGGAGAGCTGAGGGTAGGAGGAGCTGATGAGGAGGAGAGCTGAGGGTAGGAGGAGCTGATGAGGAGGAGAGCTGAGGGTAGGAGGAGGATGACCCCGTTTCAGGGAGGGCGTCTGTGGCTGACCTGGATCTGCTGCGGGTCCATGATGTTGACGGGGAGGTTGAAGGTTCCTAGCATGACGTAGCTGTTAGCGTTACGGTCGTGCGGCACTTGGGAGGTTCCCTGGGAGGATGAGGAGGGTCCGCTGTCTGCCGAGGTCCCCCCAGACCCCGACCCTCCCTGGGAAGGTGGAGGAGGGGCCCGCTCCACCAGGTGGATCACCTTTCCGCCCACATCTGGAAAGAGGCAACAAAGCGCTTAGAGGCGCAGCATGCAGAGGGACCTGAGGTCCTGGTCCTCCTGACTTACTGTAGTCTGCCAGGGTTCGCTCATCCTGCAGCACTCTGCCCTGATAGATCAGCCTCTGCTTATCCACAGGGATGCCCACGGAGGGGGCGATGTGCTCCTTGAACTCCTTCACCGTCAGCTGCAAACACAAGCAGGAGATCAACAGAGGGATGTATTTATTCCCGGAACACGGAGCAGGAGAAAGGTTTTACCTGAGATCCTACGGCGTAGCTCCGGCTCTGGGAGTCCAGCGTCTTCACCGTCACTTCTATGTCTGAACTCTGTTCCTCCATCGCGGTCCTGGGATCAAACACACCCCCTCTCATCATCATCATCACCACCATCATCATCATCACCATCATCATCATCATCTCCTCCATCATCATCATCATCATCATCTCCTCCATCATCATCATCATCATCATCATCATCATCATCATCATCATCATCTCCTCCATCATCATCATCACCATCATCATCATCATCTCCTCCATCATCATCATCATCATCATGGAGCATTAAACTGGACCGTCAGTCACCCAGCAAAACATCAGTCAGTCAGTCTGACAGTCAGTCAACAGATCAGGCAGAAAAAGCATGGCGGTTAGAGAAGAGATTCTCAGCTAGAACTATTCTACATAGATACTGAACCCTACCAGTTCTGATATGGAGGACCAATCCTGGTAGCTGCTGCTAACTGTAGTTAAATCTCTGAGCCTTCATTAGCAGGGTGGCAGTTAGCGTCTGCTGCTAGCTCTACACACCCAGCCACCTAGAAACGAAGGCGCCGCCCTCATGACTAACGCTCCGTTCGCACCGCAGGCCTTCATGCTCAATTCCCATTTTTGGGGGAAATCCGATTTTTTTACGTTGCCGTTCATTTTTCCAAATTTATGCGACTTGTATGTGATCTCCTGTGTGAAATGCAGTCATACAACGCAAGTGTCCCGCATGCGCAGCAGAGGACACGATGACATCACAGGCCAGCGTGCTTATGGAAATAAACATGGATGGTAGAGCTGGAGCGCATCTAGTTATCTTTTCCAACCATAAACACTCAATCTTTTAAAGACGGTTAAACATAAATACTGCTCGCCGCATCATCATCCGCCATGGTTGTTTTTCTTGCCGCTTCTGCGCAGCAGGATGCAGAATAGTGTCCTTTGTCAGGTATTAATGGCGTTCAGGTCGGACGTATCCGACATGGCCGTTCAGACACAGGTCGCATTTGAAAAGATCAGATTGGTATCGGATTCAGGACCACAGAGCCCAGTGTCCCGGGTCAGATTGGACAATACTGGATCCATGTTGTTCAGACTGCCATGAAAAATCAGATCCAGGTCACATATGGGCAAAAAAAAAAGGATCTGGGTGACTTCAGGCTGCGGGATGAACGTAGCCTGAAGCCACGTGTCCTCCACGCTGAAGAACCGCTGGCCACCTGCTCCGCCTACAGGCTGTACAGCCATGGACAAACGTTCTGAGAACGACACAAATATTCTATTTCCACCTGATCTGCTGCCCTCTGGTGTTCATGTCAGATGTTGCATCACATCCACAAATACGATTGCATCATATTCCCCATCGGGAGGTTACGGGCTGGTTAAACTGACCCACCGGGAGGTTACCGGCTGGTTAAACTGACCCACCGGGAGGTTACCGGCTGGTTAAACTGACCCACCGGGAGGTTACGGGCTGGTTAAACTGACCCACCGGGAGGTTACGGGCTGGTTAAACTGACCCACCGGGAGGTTACGGGCTGGTTAAACTGACCCACCGGGAGGTTACCGGCTGGTTAAACTGACCCACCGGGAGGTTACCGGCTGGTTAAACTGACCCACCGGGAGGTTACGGGCTGGTTAAACTGACCCACCGGGAGGTTACCGGCTGGTTAAACTGACCCACCGGGAGGTTACCGGCTGGTTAAACTGACCCACCGGGAGGTTACCGGCTGGTTAAACTGACCCACCGGGAGGTTACGGGCTGGTTAAACTGACCCACCGGGAGGTTACGGGCTGGTTAAACTGACCCACCGGGAGGTTACCGGCTGGTTAAACTGACCCACCGGGAGGTTACCGGCTGGTTAAACTGACCCACCGGGAGGTTACGGGCTGGTTAAACTGACCCACCGGGAGGTTACGGGCTGGTTAAACCGACCCACCGGGAGGTTACGGGCTGGTTAAACCGACCCACCGGGAGGTTACGGGCTGGTTAAACCGACCCACCGGGAGGTTACGGGCTGGTTAAACCGACCCACCGGGAGGTTACGGGCTGGTTAAACCGACCCACCGGGAGGTTACGGGCTGGTTAAACCGACCCACCGGGAGGTTACGGGCTGGTTAAACCGACCCACCGGGAGGTTACGGGCTGGTTAAACTGACCCACCGGGAGGTTACAGGCTGGTTAAACTGACCCACCGGGAGGCTGGTTAAACTGACCCACCAGTAGGTTACAGGCTGGTTAAACTGACCCACCGGGAGGTTGCAGGCTGGTTAAACTGACCCACGGGAGGTTACAGGCTGGTTAAACTGACCCACCGGGAGGTTACAGGCTGGTTAAACTGACCCACCGGGAGGCTGGTTAAACTGACCAACCAGGAGGTTACAGGCTGATTAAACTGACCCACCGGGAGGTTGCAGGCTGGTTAAACTGACCCACCGGGAGGTTACAGGCTGGTTAAACTGACCCACCGGGAGGTTACGGGCTGGTTAAACCGACCCACCGGGAGGTTACAGGCTGGTTAAACTGACACACCGGGAGGCTGGTTAAACTGACCCACCGGGAGGTTACAGGCTGGTTAAACTGACCCACCGGGAGGTTACAGGCTGGTTAAACTGACCCACCGGGAGGTTACGGGCTGGTTAAACCGACCCACCGGGAGGTTACAGGCTGGTTAAACTGACCCACCGGGAGGTTAAGGGCTGGTTAAACTGACCCACCGGGAGGTTACGGGCTGGTTAAACTGACCCACCGGGAGGTTACGGGCTGGTTAAACTGACCCACCGGGAGTTTACGGGCTGGTTAAACCGACCCACCGGGAGGTTACAGGCTGGTTAAACTGACCCACCGGGAGGCTGGTTAAACTGACCCACCGGGAGGTTACAGGCTGGTTAAACTGACCCACCGGGAGGTTACAGGCTGGTTAAACTGACCCACCGGGAGGTTACAGGCTGGTTAAACCGACCCACCGGGAGGTTACGGGCTGGTTAAACCGACCCACCGGGAGGTTACGGGCTGGTTAAACCGACCCACCGGGAGGTTACGGGCTGGTTAAACTGACCCACCGGGAGGTTACAGGCTGGTTAAACTGACCCACCGGGAGGCTGGTTAAACTGACCCACCAGTAGGTTACAGGCTGGTTAAACTGACCCACCGGGAGGTTGCAGGCTGGTTAAACTGACCCACGGGAGGTTACAGGCTGGTTAAACTGACCCACCGGGAGGTTACAGGCTGGTTAAACTGACCCACCGGGAGGCTGGTTAAACTGACCAACCAGGAGGTTACAGGCTGATTAAACTGACCCACCGGGAGGTTGCAGGCTGGTTAAACTGACCCACCGGGAGGTTACAGGCTGGTTAAACTGACCCACCGGGAGGTTACGGGCTGGTTAAACCGACCCACCGGGAGGTTACAGGCTGGTTAAACTGACCCACCGGGAGGCTGGTTAAACTGACCCACCGGGAGGTTACAGGCTGGTTAAACTGACCCACCGGGAGGTTACAGGCTGGTTAAACTGACCCACCGGGAGGTTACGGGCTGGTTAAACCGACCCACCGGGAGGTTACAGGCTGGTTAAACTGACCCACCGGGAGGTTAAGGGCTGGTTAAACTGACCCACCGGGAGGTTACGGGCTGGTTAAACTGACCCACCGGGAGGTTACGGGCTGGTTAAACTGACCCACCGGGAGTTTACGGGCTGGTTAAACCGACCCACCGGGAGGTTACAGGCTGGTTAAACTGACCCACCGGGAGGCTGGTTAAACTGACCCACCGGGAGGTTACAGGCTGGTTAAACTGACCCACCGGGAGGTTAAGGGCTGGTTAAACTGACCCACCGGGAGGTTACGGGCTGGTTAAACTGACCCACCGGGAGGTTACGGGCTGGTTAAACTGACCCACCGGGAGTTTACGGGCTGGTTAAACCGACCCACCGGGAGGTTACAGGCTGGTTAAACTGACCCACCGGGAGGCTGGTTAAACTGACCCACCGGGAGGTTACAGGCTGGTTAAACTGACCCACCGGGAGGTTACAGGCTGGTTAAACTGACCCACCGGGAGGCTGGTTAAACTGACCCACCGGGAGGTTACAGGCTGGTTAAACTGACCCACCGGGAGGTTACAGGCTGGTTAAACTGACCCACCGGGAGGTTACAGGCTGGTTAAACTGACCCACCGGGAGGTTACGGGCTGGTTAAACCGACCCACCGGGAGGTTACGGGCTGGTTAAACCGACCCACCGGGAGGTTACGGGCTGGTTAAACCGACCCACCGGGAGGTTACGGGCTGGTTAAACCGACCCACCGGGAGGTTACGGGCTGGTTAAACTGACCCACCGGGAGGCTGGTTAAACCGACCCACCGGGAGGTTACGGGCTGGTTAAACTGACCCACCGGGAGGTTACGGGCTGGTTAAACCGACCCACCGGGAGGTTACGGGCTGGTTAAACTGACCCACCGGGAGGTTACGGGCTGGTTAAACTGACCCACCGGGAGGTTACGGGCTGGTTAAACTGACCCACCGGGAGGTTACGGGCTGGTTAAACTGACCCACCGGGAGGTTACGGGCTGGTTAAACTGACCCACCGGGAGGTTACGGGCTGGTTAAACTGACCCACCGGGAGGTTACGGGCTGGTTAAACTGACCCACCGGGAGGTTACGGGCTGGTTAAACTGACCCACCGGGAGGTTACGGGCTGGTTAAACTGACCCACCGGGAGGTTACGGGCTGGTTAAACTGACCCACCGGGAGGTTACGGGCTGGTTAAACTGACCCACCGGGAGGTTACGGGCTGGTTAAACTGACCCACCGGGAGGTTACGGGCTGGTTAAACTGACCCACCGGGAGGTTACGGGCTGGTTAAACTGACCCACCGGGAGGTTACGGGCTGGTTAAACTGACCCACCGGGAGGTTACGGGCTGGTTAAACTGACCCACCGGGAGGTTACAGGCTGGTTAAACTGACCCACCGGGAGGTTACAGGCTGGTTAAACTGACCCACCGGGAGGTTACGGGCTGGTTAAACCGACCCACCGGGAGGTTACGGGCTGGTTAAACCGACCCACCGGGAGGTTACGGGCTGGTTAAACCGACCCACCGGGAGGTTACGGGCTGGTTAAACCGACCCACCGGGAGGTTACGGGCTGGTTAAACCGACCCACCGGGAGGTTACGGGCTGGTTAAACCGACCCACCGGGAGGTTACGGGCTGGTTAAACCGACCCACCGGGAGGTTACGGGCTGGTTAAACCGACCCACCGGGAGGTTACGGGCTGGTTAAACTGACCCACCGGGAGGTTACAGGCTGGTTAAACTGACCCACCGGGAGGCTGGTTAAACTGACCCACCAGTAGGTTACAGGCTGGTTAAACTGACCCACCGGGAGGTTGCAGGCTGGTTAAACTGACCCACGGGAGGTTACAGGCTGGTTAAACTGACCCACCGGGAGGTTACAGGCTGGTTAAACTGACCCACCGGGAGGCTGGTTAAACTGACCAACCAGGAGGTTACAGGCTGATTAAACTGACCCACCGGGAGGTTGCAGGCTGGTTAAACTGACCCACCGGGAGGTTACAGGCTGGTTAAACTGACCCACCGGGAGGTTACAGGCTGGTTAAACCGACCCACCGGGAGGTTACGGGCTGGTTAAACCGACCCACCGGGAGGTTACAGGCTGGTTAAACTGACCCACCGGGAGGCTGGTTAAACTGACCCACCGGGAGGTTACAGGCTGGTTAAACTGACCCACCGGGAGGTTACAGGCTGGTTAAACTGACCCACCGGGAGGTTACGGGCTGGTTAAACCGACCCACCGGGAGGTTACAGGCTGGTTAAACTGACCCACCGGGAGGTTAAGGGCTGGTTAAACTGACCCACCGGGAGGTTAAGGGCTGGTTAAACTGACCCACCGGGAGGTTACGGGCTGGTTAAACTGACCCACCGGGAGGTTACGGGCTGGTTAAACTGACCCACCGGGAGTTTACGGGCTGGTTAAACCGACCCACCGGGAGGTTACAGGCTGGTTAAACTGACCCACCGGGAGGCTGGTTAAACTGACCCACCGGGAGGTTACAGGCTGGTTAAACTGACCCACCGGGAGGTTACAGGCTGGTTAAACTGACCCACCGGGAGGTTAAGGGCTGGTTAAACTGACCCACCGGGAGGTTACGGGCTGGTTAAACTGACCCACCGGGAGGTTACGGGCTGGTTAAACTGACCCACCGGGAGTTTACGGGCTGGTTAAACCGACCCACCGGGAGGTTACAGGCTGGTTAAACTGACCCACCGGGAGGCTGGTTAAACTGACCCACCGGGAGGTTACAGGCTGGTTAAACTGACCCACCGGGAGGTTACAGGCTGGTTAAACTGACCCACCGGGAGGTTACAGGCTGGTTAAACTGACCCACCGGGAGGTTACGGGCTGGTTAAACCGACCCACCGGGAGGCTGGTTAAACTGACCCACCGGGAGGTTACAGGCTGGTTAAACCGACCCACCGGGAGGTTACGGGCTGGTTAAACTGACCCACCGGGAGGCTGGTTAAACCGACCCACCGGGAGGTTACGGGCTGGTTAAACTGACCCACCGGGAGGTTACGGGCTGGTTAAACCGACCCACCGGGAGGTTACAGGCTGGTTAAACCGACCCACCGGGAGGTTACGGGCTGGTTAAACCGACCCACCGGGAGGTTACAGGCTGGTTAAACCGACCCACCGGGAGGTTACGGGCTGGTTAAACCGACCCACCGGGAGGTTACGGGCTGGTTAAACTGACCCACCGGGAGGTTACGGGCTGGTTAAACTGACCCACCGGGAGGTTACGGGCTGGTTAAACTGACCCACCGGGAGGTTACGGGCTGGTTAAACTGACCCACCGGGAGGTTACAGGCTGGTTAAACTGACCCACCGGGAGGTTACAGGCTGGTTAAACTGACCCACCGGGAGGTTACGGGCTGGTTAAACTGACCCACCGGGAGGTTACGGGCTGGTTAAACTGACCCACCGGGAGGTTACGGGCTGGTTAAACTGACCCACCGGGAGGTTACGGGCTGGTTAAACTGACCCACCGGGAGGTTACAGGCTGGTTAAACTGACCCACCGGGAGGTTACGGGCTGGTTAAACCGACCCACCGGGAGGTTACGGGCTGGTTAAACCGACCCACCGGGAGGCTGGTTAAACTGACCCACCGGGAGGTTACGGGCTGGTTAAACTGACCCACCGGGAGGTTACGGGCTGGTTAAACTGACCCACCGGGAGGTTACGGGCTGGTTAAACTGACCCACCGGGAGGTTACGGGCTGGTTAAACTGCTGCTCATTATTCACCATTAAAGAAAGAAGTTTAGCTTTTAGCAGAATGTTGAGCTAAGCTAACCGCTAACTGGAAGGACGGCTAAGCTAAGCTAAGCTAATGCTAGCAAACATCAAAGCCAGGAAAGGAGCCGCTGTGGCTCCAGGTAAAGTTAACCACTCACCGCTTTATCGCTCCTGCCAACCAACCGGCCTCTGAAGGCTTCTTTTCACCGGAGATCGAAGCGGCTGCCCCGCTCCGCTCTCTGCTGCTAGCTAAGAGGCTGCGGAGGAAGTGACGTAAGAGGGCAGCGGAAGTGTTCGCTTAGAGAAGAAAAGATGGCGAACCTTGTGGAGGCGACGAGCCAGAAGCAGTTTGAGGAGATTCTCTCCAAAGCTGGCAGCCGCCTGACCGTGGTTCATTTCCACGCCGCGTGGGCTCCTCAGTGCGGCCAGATGAACGAAGTGATGGCGGAGCTGGCCAAGGAGCACAGCTCCGCCATCTTCCTCCGGCTGGAGGCGGAGGCCGTCCTGGAGGTGTCGGAGAAGTATGAGATCTCCTCGGTGCCCACCTTCCTGTTCTTCAGGGCCGGGGAGAAGGTGGAGCGGCTGGACGGAGCCCACGCTGCCGAGCTGACCGCCAAGGTGCGTCGGCTGGCGGGGAGCGGCGGCCCGGGGGGAGCCGCGGAGGCTCCGGGTCTGGAGGAGCGGCTGAAGAAGCTGGTGAGGGCGGCCCCCTGCATGCTGTTCATGAAGGGCTCTCCTCAGGAGCCCCGCTGCGGCTTCAGCCGGCAGCTGGTGGGGCTCCTCAAGGAGCACCACGTCACCTTCAGCAGCTTCGACATCCTGCAGGATGAGGAGGTCCGCCAGGGCCTGAAGACCTTCTCCAACTGGCCCACCTACCCCCAGCTCTATGTGGACGGGGAGCTGGTGGGGGGCCTGGACATCGTGAAGGAGCTGGCTGCTTCCGGGGAGCTGGAGAACATCTGCCCCAAGGAGGTGAGCCTGGAGCAGCGGCTGCAGGCCGCCATCAACCGGGGCCCCGTCATGCTGTTCATGAAGGGCACCAAGGAGGCCCCCCGGTGCGGCTTCAGCAGGCAGATCCTGGAGATCCTGAACGGGACGGGGCTGGACTACGACACCTTCGACATCCTGCAGGATGAGGAGGTCCGCCAGGGCCTGAAGACCTTCTCCAACTGGCCCACCTACCCCCAGCTCTACGTCAGGGGCCAACTGATCGGGGGCCTGGACATCGTCAAGGAGCTGAAGGAGAGCGGGGAGCTGGTCTCCGTTCTGAGGGGCGAGTCTTAGGGGGGAGCAGAGGACACTGAAGGGCCCCAGACAGCAGGGGCCCCAAAAAGCAAAGGAGAAAATTAGTTCTGGATTGTTTTTCTCTAGAAGACCCATAATGCATCACTTCAGTAAAGCCAGATTCTGCTGGAAGCACAAAGGAAATTTTCATCTTTCACCTCCTGCTGTTTCACCTCCTCCAGTTTAGTAAACAACTCCTCATCCTCTCTTTGGCTCCTGGGATCTTCCTGTCATTCCTCCTAAAACAATCATTAAACCGTCTCTAAGGACCTGCAGTGTTTGCTTGTGTTGTCTCTACTGTAGATCTGTCTTCTTCATAAATCCTGCCTGAATAATTAACTGAACGCTGGTGTTCTGTTGGAGCTGCAGCTCCTGCAGCTGACTGCCAAGGAGCTGCAGGAGCTGCAGCATCTGTATCTCAGGCAGCTGCAGCTCCTGCAGCTGCTGTTTCTCAGGCGGCTGCAGGAGCTGCAGCTGCTGTATCTAAGGCAGCTGCATCGGCTGCAGGAGCTGCAGCTGCTGTTTCTCAGGCGGCTGCAGGAGCTGCAGCTGCTGTATCTCAGGCGTCTGCATTTAAAACACTCAAGAATGCAAAGCACTGAACAGGTTTCATGTCAAAAACATTAAGACATAAAAATCTTTTATACACCTGAAATGAAACCGTTTTTGAATCATTAGTTATAATTCTCCAGGATTTATCTTTCAAATCCTTTTATTTACATGATATATTAATATTGATGTAATAATAAATGGGGAGCTGCTGCTGCCTGGTTATGAACTCAGAATGTTTATCAGGAATTAAACTGATTAAATAGATGAAACATTATTTTTCAAAGGGAAACTGATTTGAAAATAGTTAATAAATCTAAACATGGAAAACATAAACAGCCTCCTTTCTGGACAGTAACGGTTTGGTTTGAGAAAAGTTTTCTATGTAAGAAGTGCTGAATGTGGGATGATTGTGAAATAAAAGCAGGTGAGGTCAGTCGGAGGCCTCCAGCACCTCCACCTGTCTGAACTCCTTCCTCACTGATTGACCCGGTGAACAGATGCTCCTCACACAGACATCAGTCCAGGATGATCAGGTTTCTAGTAGCAGCATATCTGAGTGGAGAGTTTGTCGCCACCTTGTGGAAGTAGGAATGATTACAATAACAAGCAGCCCCAGTCCTTCGCTGCATCTGTCTCCTGCTTATTAACAGCATCAGTTTTTTATCCTCTTGTTGATTTAAAAAAACTTTTCTATTGAAACAGAAACCTGATTTAAAATCATAAACGTTCAGTGAAGTTTTAGCGGCGATGCATATTAATATATCACTTTATTGGTAGAGTAAGGTAACCCTAACATGAGGCCAGTCAGCCATAGTATTCAAATGTTTAGACATTTATCAACCTAAAGTGAATAGATTAACATTTATTATACATATTAAGTGAGATTTAGGTCAGATAATTAGGCATTAATAAAACCAAACTATATCTTTGATGTTTCTAGAGAAAAGATTGACTTTTGGAAATATTTACACTGAGAGATTGTATTGGTTCCCAGTCAGGTAATAACAGACACCTACTGGGATCATCATGGATCATCCAGACGGCTGCAGCTTTGCTTCTACATTCAGCAGCAAAACTATAGAAGCTGCTGTACATGAAAATAACAGGAAAAGACAGAAAAGCACTGGACAGTGGCATATTAAATAAAAATTATTTATACCTAAATATAAACTCTAAATGCTAAATTAGAGTCTAGATCAGGAGTCTTCAATGTTTTCCAGGCCAAGGACCCCAAACTGATGGAGATGGAGCGGGAACCCCCTGATTATATATATAGTATGAAATAGTGTTCTATCAAACTGGTCCTATATTCACTCTATTACAGATCAAGTAATGTAACTAAAGTAATCCCTCCCTGGGATTATTAAAGTATTCCTGATTCCTGGTTGATGGGACAGGTGTTGTGAATGAAACGGTGTCCAGCTTAAAGAGCTCCTGTGTGTCTCTGAATGTGAGCATTGATGACTGAAAGACATCTTCTGTCTCCATTTATCTGTTTACTACAGTCTGTTGGATTCATGTTAATGTGGATTTAAAGACTTTTCAATTAGTGGAAAAAATTACAGGGGGAAATATAAAAAAAAAAAAAAAATCAACCAAAACTTTCACGACCCCCATGCAGGACCTCTGTGGACCCCCTAGTGGTTGCGGACCCCCTGTTGAAGACCTTTGGTCTAGATAATTAAAGTTAACAGTGCTGACCTTTACTATCAGGAAGTCCACAAACTGTAGTTAAAAGCCTTCAGCTGATCCAAGATGCTGCAGCCAGAGTTCTGATGGAAATTAAAAAGAGAGATCATATCTCTCCTATCCTGGCTTCTCTTCATTGGCTTCCTGTTAAATCCAGAATAGAATATAAAATCCTCCTTCTCACATATAAAGCCTTAAATGGCCAAGCTCCATCTGATATCAGAGATCTGATTGTTCCTTATGTTCCTAACAGAGCACTTCGCTCTCAATCTGCAGGTTTACTAGTGGTTCCTAGAATTTCTAAAAGTAGAATGGGAGGCAGATCTTTTAGTTATCAGGCTCCTCTCCTGTGGAACCAACTACCAGTTTTAGTCCGTGAGGCAGACACCCTGTCTACTTTTAAGGCTAGGCTTAAAACTTTCCTTTTTGATAAAGCTTCTAGTTAGAGTGGCTCAGGTTATCCTGATCTATCTCTATAGTTCTGCTGCTATAGGCTTAGACTGCTGGAGGACATAGGGACCCCTTTTTCATCATTCTGCTTCATTCTATCTCTATTCTCCCACTCTGCAGTGTCTGTTAGTTCAATCTCTAACGTTCTGCTCTCTCTGCTTTTTCTCATAGTAGCTTCATCTGGTCTGTTCCTGTTTGGCTGTGACTCCATCCTGGAGAGAAATATCAGCTGTGCTGCTGCCATCAACACCTTTGTTTCTAGATGTTGGAGCTTGGCCTGTTTTCCAGTGTAGTCCTGTTTCTCTGACTGTGACTAACTGGATGTGCTCTCTTCATCCTCTGACATGGGAGCTGGCTCGGAGCTCGTCTGCCTGGCTGTGTGTTTCCTGGACGGGGCCGCCTGTGGAGCTGGTTGACAGTTGCCTTTTGTATCTATGCTTCTTTTTCTATGTCTGCTTCTGTCTCCTTGAACCCCAGTGGGCCTCAGCAGATGGCCGCTCACACTGAGCCTGGTTCTGCTGGAGGTTTCTTCCTGTTCAAAGGGAGTTTTTCCTCTCCACTGTCGCTACAAGCATGCTTAGTGTGAGGGATTGCTGAAGAGTCAATGAGTCGATGCAATCAGCTGGTTTTCCTTAGATAGAAAACTTTGAATCAATCTGACTGGATGATCTGGTGAACTGTAAAGTGCCTTGAGATGACATGTGTTGTGAATTTGGTGCTATATAAATAAACGGAATTCAATTGACCTTTGAACTATAGCTGATGTAAATAAACAGAGGTGTGAAGAACAGAGAAGATCCAAATAATGAAACAGAAACTTGGATGCAACGTCCCGTTGCCCCCGGTAACCCCTGTTAGATGGTTTATTTACTACAGAGGAGGAATAAAGTGTGATCATGAATCTGAGAGGAAATAAGACAAACAACCAAAAAACCCAGAAACTTAAAACCAAACATCAAGAAGGGTTCACTAAGAACACAGTGGAGAGCTCTGAACGCACACCGCCATACACCTCGTTACCATGACGACGCAGGAGGTGAGCAAGAAACTGACAGCAGCGCAAACCAGTCACACAGAGACACAAACCAGTCACACAGCAATACAAACCAGTCCCACAGCAGCACAAACCAGTCACACAGCAGCACAAACCAGTCACACATAGACACAAACCCGTCCCACAGCAGCACAAACCAGTCACACAGCAATACAAACCAGTCACACAACAACACAAACCAGTCACACAGCAATACAAACCAGTCACACAGCAATACAAACCAGTCCCACAGCAGCACAAACCAGTCACACATAGACACAAACCAGTCCCACAGCAGCACAAACCAGTCACACAGCAACACAAACCAGTCCCACAGCAGCACAAACCAGTCACACATAGACACAAACCCGTCCCACAGCAGCACAAACCAGTCACACAGCAATACAAACCAGTCACACAACAACACAAACCAGTCACACAGCAACACAAACCAGTCCCACAGCAGCACAAACCAGTCACACAGCAATACAAACCAGTCACACAGCAACACAAACCAGTCACACAGAGACACAAACCAGTCACACAGCAACACAAACCAGTCAAACAGAGACACAAACCAGTCCCACAGCAGCACAAACCAGTCACACAGCAATACAAACCAGTCACACAGCAATACAAACCAGTCACACAGCAGCACAAACCAGTCAGACAGCAGCACAAACCAGTCCCACAGCAGCACAAACCAGTCACACAGAGACACAAACCAGTCACACAGAGACACAAACCAGTCACACAGCAACACAAACCAGTCACACAGCAACACAAACCAGTCACACAGCAATACAAACCAGTCATACAGCAACACAAACCAGTCACACAGCAGCACAAACCAGTCCCACAGCAGCACAAACCAGTCACACAGAGACACAAACCAGTCACACAGCAACACAAACCAGTCAAACAGAGACACAAACCAGTCCCACAGCAACACAAACCAGTCACAGAGCAATACAAACCAGTCACACAGCAACACAAACCAGTCACACAGCAATACAAACCAGTCACACAGCAGCACAAACCAGTCACACAGCAGCACAAACCAGTCCCACAGCAGCACAAACCAGTCACACAGAGACACAAACCAGTCACACAGCAACACAAACCAGTCAAACAGAGACACAAACCAGTCCCACAGCAACACAAACCAGTCACACAGCAATACAAACCAGTCACACAGCAACACAAACCAGTCACACAGCAATACAAACCAGTCACACAGCAACACAAACCAGTCCCACAGCAGCACAAACCAGTCACACAGCAACACAAACCAGTCACACAGCAACACAAACCAGTCACACAGCAATACAAACCAGTCACACAGCAACACAAACCAGTCCCACAGCAACACAAACCAGTCACACAGCAATACAAACCAGTCACACAGCAATACAAACCAGTCACACAGCAACACAAACCAGTCCCACAGCAGCACAAACCAGTCACACAGCAATACAAACCAGTCACAAAGCAATACAAACCACTCACACAACAACACAAACCAGTCACACAGCAATACAAACCAGTCCCACAGCAGCACAAACCAGTCACACAGCAACACAAACCAGTCACACATAGACACAAACCCGTCCCAGAGCAGCACAAACCAGTCACACAGCAATACAAACCAGTCACACAGCAACACAAACTAGTCCCACAGCAGCACAAACCAGTCACACAGCAATACAAACCAGTCACACAGCAATACAAACCAGTCACACAGCGATACAAACCAGTCACACAGCAACACAAACCAGTCACACAGCGATACAAACCAGTCACACAGCAATACAAACCAGTCACACAGCGATACAAACCAGTCACACAGCAACACAAACCAGTCACACAGCAGCACAAACCAGTCACACAGCAGCACAAACCAGTCACAGAGAAACACAAACCAGTCACACAGCAATACAAACCAGTCACACAGACACAAACCAGTCACACAGCAACACAAACCAGTCACACAGACACAAACCAGTCACACAGACACAAACCAGTCACACAGACACAAACCAGTCACACAGCAACACAAACCAGTCACACAGAGACACAAACCAGTCACACAGCAACACAAACCAGTCACACAGCAACACAAACCAGTCACACATAGACACAAACCCCTCCCACAGCAGCACAAACCAGTCACACAGCCATACAAACCAGTCACACAGCAACACAAACCAGTCACACAGCAGCACAAACCAGTCACACAGCAATACAAACCAGTCACACAGAGACACAAACCAGTCACACAGCAACACAAACCAGTCAAACAGAGACACAAACCAGTCCCACAGCAGCAAAAACCAGTCACACAGCAACACAAACCAGTCCCACAGCAGCACAAACCAGTCACACAGCAACACAAACCAGTCACACAGCAATACAAACCAGTCCCACAGCAACACAAACCAGTCCCACAGCAACACAAACCAGTCCCACAGCAACACAAACCAGTCACACAGCAATACAAACCAGTCACACAGCAATACAAACCAGTCACACAGCAACACAAACCAGTCCCACAGCAACACAAACCAGTCACACAGCAATACAAACCAGTCACACAGCAACACAAACCAGTGACACAGACACAAACCAGTCACACAGACACAAACCAGTCACACAGACACAAACCAGTCACACAGCAACACAAACCAGTCACACAGAGACACAAACCAGTCACACAGCAACACAAACCAGTCACACAGCAACACAAACCAGTCACACATAGACACAAACCCCTCCCACAGCAGCACAAACCAGTCACACAGCCATACAAACCAGTCACACAGCAACACAAACCAGTCACACAGCAGCACAAACCAGTCACACAGCAATACAAACCAGTCACACAGAGACACAAACCAGTCACACAGCAACACAAACCAGTCAAACAGAGACACAAACCAGTCCCACAGCAGCAAAAACCAGTCACACAGCAACACAAACCAGTCCCACAGCAGCACAAACCAGTCACACAGCAACACAAACCAGTCACACAGCAATACAAACCAGTCCCACAGCAACACAAACCAGTCCCACAGCAACACAAACCAGTCCCACAGCAACACAAACCAGTCACACAGCAATACAAACCAGTCACACAGCAATACAAACCAGTCACACAGCAACACAAACCAGTCCCACAGCAACACAAACCAGTCACACAGCAATACAAACCAGTCACACAGCAATACAAACCAGTCACACAGCAATACAAACCAGTCACACAGAGACACAAACCAGTCACACAGCAACACAAACCAGTCAAACAGAGACACAAACCAGTCCCACAGCAGCACAAACCAGTCACACAGCAACACAAACCAGTCAAACAGAGACACAAACCAGTCCCACAGCAGCGAAAACCAGTCACACAGAGACACAAACCAGTCACACAGCAACACAAACCAGTCCCACAGCAGCACAAACCAGTCACAAAGCAACACAAACCAGTCACACAGCAACACAAACCAGTCACACAGCAATACAAACCAGTCCCACAGCAACACAAACCAGTCCCACAGCAGCACAAACCAGTCACACAGCAATACAAACCAGTCCCACAGCAACACAAACCAGTCCCACAGCAACACAAACCAGTCACACAGCAATACAAACCAGTCACACAGCAATACAAACCAGTCACACAGCGATACAAACCAGTCCCACAGCAGCACAAACCAGTCACACAGCAATACAAACCAGTCACACAGCGATACAAACCAGTCACACAGCAACACAAACAAGTCACACAGCGATACAAACCAGTCACACAGCAATACAAACCAGTCACACAGCGATACAAACCAGTCACACAGCAACACAAACCAGTCACACAGCAGCACAAACCAGTCACACAGCAACACAAACCAGTCCCACAGCAACACAAACCAGTCCCACAGCAGCACAAACCAGTCACACAGCAACACAAACCAGTCACACAGCAACACAAACCAGTCACACAGCAACACAAACCAGTCACACAGCAACACAAACCAGTCACACAGCAACACAAACCAGTCCCACAGCAGCACAAACCAGTCACACAGCAATACAAACCAGTCACACAGCGATACAAACCAGTCACACAGCAACACAAACCAGTCACACAGCGATACAAACCAGTCACACAGCAATACAAACCAGTCACACAGCGATACAAACCAGTCACACAGCAACACAAACCAGTCCCACAGCAACACAAACCAGTCCCACAGCAACACAAACCAGTCACACAGCAATACAAACCAGTCACACAGCGATACAAACCAGTCCCACAGCAGCACAAACCAGTCACACAGCAACACAAACCAGTCACACAGCAGCACAAACCAGTCACACAGCAGCACAAACCAGTCACACAGCAACACAAACCAGTCCCACAGCAACACAAACCAGTCCCACAGCAACACAAACCAGTCACACAGCAATACAAACCAGTCACACAGCGATACAAACCAGTCCCACAGCAGCACAAACCAGTCACACAGCAACACAAACCAGTCACACAGCAGCACAAACCAGTCACACAGCAGCACAAACCAGTCACACAGCAACACAAACCAGTCACACAGCAGCACAAACCAGTCCCACAGCAGCACAAACCAGTCACACAGCAATACAAACCAGTCACACAGCGATACAAACCAGTCACACAGCAACACAAACCAGTCACACAGCGATACAAACCAGTCACACAGCAATACAAACCAGTCACACAGCGATACAAACCAGTCACACAGCAACACAAACCAGTCACACAGCAACACAAACCAGTCACACAGCAGCACAAACCAGTCACACAGCAGCACAAACCAGTCACACAGACACAAACCAGTCACACAGGCACAAACCAGTCACACAGACACAAACCAGTCACACAGACACAAACCAGTCACACAGCAACACAAACCAGTCACACAGCAATACAAACCAGTCACACAGACACAAACCAGTCCCACAGACACAAACCAGTCACACAGACACAAACCAGTCACACAGACACAAACCAGTCACACAGACACAAACCAGTCACACAGCAACACAAACCAGTCACACAGCAATACAAACCAGTCACACAGACACAAACCAGTCCCACAGACACAAACCAGTCACACAGACACAAACCAGTCACACAGGCACAAACCAGTCACACAGACACAAACCAGTCACACAGACACAAACCAGTCACACAGCAACACAAACCAGTCACACAGACACAAACCAGTCACACAGCAACACAAACCAGTCACACAGCAATACAAACCAGTCACACAGACACAAACCAGTCCCACAGACACAAACCAGTCACACAGACACAAACCAGTCACACAGACACAAACCAGTCACACAGACACAAACCAGTCCCACAGACACAAACCAGTCCCACAGACACAAACCAGTCAATTCAATTTTCAATTCAGTTTATTTATATAGCGCCAAATTCACAACACATGTCATCTCAAGGCACTTTACAGTTCAACCAGATCAAATTGATACAAAGTTTTCTATCTAAGGAAAACCAGTTGATTGCATTGACTCATTGACTCAAATACAATCCCCCACACTAAGCATGCTTGTAGCGACAGTGGAGAGGAAAAACTCCCTTTTAACAGGAAGAAACCTCCAGCAGAACCAGGCTCAGTGTGAGCGGCCATCTGCCGAGGCCGACTGGGGTTCAAGGAGACAGAAGCAGAGATACAAAAAGCAGCTGTAAAAGGCGGCCCCGTCCAGGAAACACACAGCCAGGCAGACGAGCTCCAAGGCAGCTCCCATGCCAGAGGACGAAGAAAGCACATCCACTCAGTCACGGTCAGAGAAACAGGACCACACTGGAAACCAGGCCGATCTCCAACATCTATAAACAAGGGTGTTGATAGAAGCAGCACAGCTGATGTTTCTTTCCAGGATGACGTCACAGCCAAACAGGAACAGACGAGGCAAAGCTACTCTGAGGAAAAGCAGAGAGAGCAGAAGGTTAGAGATTGAACTAACAGATTCTGCAGAATAGGAGAACAGAGAGAGAATGAAGCAGAATGATGAAATGGGGGTCCCTATGTCCTCCAAAAGTCTAAGCCTATAGCAGCATAACTATAGAGATAGCTCAGGATAACCTGAGCCACTCTAACTATAAGCTTTATCAAAAAGGAAAGTTTTAAGCCTAGCCTTAAAAGTAGACAGGGTGTCTGCCTCACGGACTAAAACTGGTAGTTGGTTCCACAGGAGAGGAGCCTGATAACTAAAAGATCTGCCTCCCATTCTACTTTTAGAAATTCTAGGAACCACTAGTAAACTTGCAGATTGAGAGCGAAGTGCTCTGTTAGGAACATAAGGAACAATCAGATCTCTGATATAAGATGGAGCTTGGCCATTTAAGGCTTTATATGTGAGAAGGAGGATTTTAAATTCTATTCTTGATTTAACAGGAAGCCAATGAAGAGAAGCCAGGATAGGCGAGATATGATCTCTCTTTTTAATTTTCATTAGAACTCTGGCTGCAGCGTTTTGGATCAGCTGAAGGCTTTTAACTACAGTTTGTGGACTTCCTGATAGTAAAGAATTACAATAGTCCAGCCTTGAAGTAACAAATGCATGGACTAGTTTCTCAGCATCACCCCTGGACAGGATATTTCTAATTTTTGCAATGTTCCTCAGATGAAAGAAGGAAATTCTAGAAACCTCTTTGATGTGGGATTTAAATGACAGGTCCTGATCAAAAACAACACCAAGATTTTTTACTTTATTATCTGAAATCAGTTTAATCCCATCCAAATGAAGTGACTGGCTAATCAGTTTCTTTTTCAGAGACTCTGGTCCAAAGACTATAACTTCTGTTTTGTCTGCATTCAGAAGCAGAAAGTTAAGAGTCATCCAGGTTTTTATGTCTTCAAGACATGCCTGTAATCTATGTAATGGGTTAGCTTCATCTGGATTTATAGACAGATATAGCTGGGTATCATCAGCATAACAGTGGAAATTAATCCCATGCTGTCTAATAATTCTACCAATTGGGAGCATGTATAAAGTAAAGAGAATTGGTCCTAGCACTGATCCCTGTGGTACTCCACAGGTAACCTTTGAGCGTGTTGAAGATCTATCATTAACATGAACAAACTGAATTCGATCAGATAGATAAGATTTAAACCAGTCTAGTGCTGTTCCTTTAATTCCAACAAAATATTCAAGTCTTTCTAAAAGAATATTATGGTCAACTGTATCAAATGCAGCACTAAGATCCAACAGGACGAGCACAGATACAAGTCCATTATCTGAGGCCATGAGAATATCATTAGTGACTTTCACCAGAGCTGTTTCAGTGCTATGATGAGCTCTAAAGCCAGACTGAAACTCTTCAAAAAGTTCATTATGGTGGAAGTGATCGCAAACTTGTTTGGCAACTACTTTCTCAAGAATTTTGGATAAGAAAGGAAGATTGGATATAGGTCTATAATTGACCAAGTCATCTGGGTCAAGAGACGGTTTCTTAAGCAGAGGTTTAATTACAGCAACCTTAAAAGCTTTAGGTACATATCCCTGTAACAGAGATAGATTAATCACATCTAAAATGGAGGAGGAGATCAAAGGGAATACCTCCTTAAATAACCTGGTTGGAACTGGATCTAACATACAAGTTGAAGGCTTAGATGAAGACAATAATTTTGCTAATTCAGAGAGTTCAACTGGATCAAAGCAGTCTAAACCCAGTTCAGATTCCATGACTACCTCAGGTACAATCGCGGATAGAGGAGTGCTTATGATCTTATTTTTAATAAGATCAATCTTATTTATAAAGAATCCCATAAAGTCATTGCTGCTAAGAGCAGGTGGAATGGACGGTTCAACAGAGCTATGGCTCTGGGTGAGTTTGGCAACTGTATTAAAAAGAAATCTAGGATTATTCTTATTCTCCTCTATTAATGAGGAGAAGTATGCTGCTCTTGCTTTACAAAGGGTCCTCTTATACAGCAGTAAACCATTTTTCCAGACTAGGAAGGACTCTCGCAGGCCTGTGGAGCGATATTTTCTCTCCAGTTTCCTAGCATTTTGCTTCAAAGTACGCAGCTCTGCATTAAACCAAGGAGCAAGCTTTCTATTTTTAACGGTTTTCATTTTCAAAGGAGCTGCGTTGTCTAAGGCAATACGCAGAGAACTAGCAACCCCATCAACAAAATCATCAACCTGTGAAGGGGAATAAGCTAAACTTTTGCACTCTGCAGCACTGCTCAGTGACACAGAGGAGAGAGAAAGTGAAGCAGATTCTTTAAAATTTATAACTGCACTATCTGATAAAGATCTACTAAAATTGAACCTTCTTTTGGGGGAGGAGAACTCTGTTAAAGTAATCCTGAAGGTTATTAGAAAGTGGTCAGAGAGGACAGGGTTGTGAGGAAATACTGTTATTTCTTCACATTCTATGCCGTATGTCAGCACAAGATCCAAAGTATGAAGATGAGAATGCGTGGGACTATTCACATTTTGAACAAAGCCAATAGTGTCTAAGATAGCATTAAAGGCTGCTCTTAAGCTATCGCCTTCAATGTCAGCATGGATGTTAAAATCTCCCACTATGATGACCCTGTCAGTATTTAATACCAAATCAGAAAGGAACTCTGAAAACTCATCTAAAAATTCAGAGTAAGGACCTGGTGGACGATACAAAGTTACAAAAAGAAGAGGTTTTCTTGCCTTGAAATTTGGATCAGGGAAATTAAGGGTTAAATGTTCAAAAGAGTTGTAGGTATTAACTGTTTTGGGAGTAATCAGTAAGTCAGACTGGAAGATTGTTGCTACTCCTCCTCCTCGCCCAGAACTTCTGGGGATGTGAAAATTTAAATAGCTTGAAGGAGTTGCCTCATTTATGCTCACATAATCCTCTTGCTGCAGCCAGGTTTCTGTAAGGCAAAACAAGTCAATGTGATTATCACAAATCAAGTCATTAACTAGTAGACTTTTAGAGGAAAGCGATCTTATGTTAAACAGACCGCATTTAATTGTTTTAACTTTTTCCCCAATTTGAGTTATTTTGATTTTAATTAGATTATCATGATTTACTCCTTTGGGAATCTTTGCTAATTTATTAGATTTTGGTCGTGGGCAAGACACTGTCTGGATGGAGTAAAGAGTGGGTAACAGTAGAGAAGCTGCAGAGATGTGTGTTAAACTACAACTCTGCTTCCTGGTCTGCACCCTGGGTGGTCAGGGTTTTGGAGGACTAATAAATGTGGCCAGATTCCTAGAAAGAAGAGCTGCACCATCCAAAGTGGGATGGATGCCGTCTCTCCGAATCAGACCAGGCTTTCCCCAAAAGGATTGCCAATTATTAATGTAGCCCACGTTGTTTTCAGGGCACCACCTAGACAACCAGCGGTTGAATGACGACATGCGGCTAAACATGTCATCACTGGTCAGATCAGGGAGGGGACCAGAGAAAATTACGGAGTCCGACATTTTTTTGGCAAACTTACACACCGAAGCAACACTAATTTTAGTGACCTCCGATCGGCGTAACCGGGTGTCATTACCACCAGCGTGAATAACAATCTTACTGTATTTAACCTTATCCTTAGCCAGTAGTTTCAGGTAGGATTTGATGTCGCCCGTTCTGGCCCCCGGCAAACATTTGACTATGGTCCCTGGTGTCTCTAATGCCACGTTTCTGACTATGGAGCTGCCAATCACCAGAGTGGGCTTCTCAGTGGGTGTGTCACTGAGTGGGGAAAACCGGTTAGAAACGTGAACGGGTTGGTGGTGACCAGTGGGCAGAGATCCACGACTACGCTTTCTGCGTACAGTTACCCAATCGCCTGGCTGCTCAGGCACTTTTGGAGGACAGCTACGTGGGGGGCCTACTTCAACAGCCTGAAGCCTGGATTCTAACTCTGACACCCTCGCCTCCAAAGCTACAAAAATACTACACTTATTACACATCCCATTATCACTAAAGGAGGCAGAGGAATAACTGAACATCTGACACAGAGAGCAGGAGAGAGGAGAGGAAGAAGGAAGAGTTGGAAAAGAGTCAAGGGAGGGAGAGAGAGAAGCCATAGCAATGCTAAGCTAGCGCTAGCCTAGGCTAGCTACTCCTTGCTATCAGAAATAAAACCGTGTGTAACTGACAAGTGCTCAGTAGAAAAGTGCAGCAGAAGGTGCTATGTTTTAAAGTAGTCAGTTAGAGTTACTTAGATACAGAGATATCACAGAGAAAATAACTTAACTTCAGATGGAGATCCTCTGAACAGCTGCACACTCAGTTAATCCAAACAGGAAGTGAACAGGTCCAAAACCAGTCACACAGACACAAACCAGTCACACAGACACAAACCAGTCACACAGATCTGTGCCAGATGTTTTAAAGATAAAAACTTACATAATATCAGTTTAAATTAATAGGAAGTCAAAATGACAGAAAACCTTTTTCTCTTTTAATTGTTTCATTTATTCATCATCACTGTTTTTGGGGAACGGAGCAAATAAAACCGTGTTTCTTCTGTGTGACGAAGGGAACCTTTAAACATGGTAGTTAATGATTGGCAGCTTATTGACCGCCTGTTTCTGGCTGCTGATGTTTTCCTTTAAGCTGGCTGTTGTCGGTGAGATAAACCACAGCCTCCCACATCAACCCGCTTCACTCAGGAAGCCTCTCTCTATAAGTGGATTTTAATTCAGCTAATCGGATCTAGTGAAAGTTTAATTGAAAGGATTTAATCTGGAACCTTCCGTCTTTGATCAGAGGATGCATGGAACCTCCTCTCCCCCCCAGATGGTGGTTATTCCTGACAGCACAATAGTGGTTAATGAATTACCCACACCCACTCTGTTTAATTTACCTGCTCCAACGTTGCATAAAGTCAGAAAGTGTCCTCAGGCGTCCTGGCAACCAGAACATAGCGCTTCCCTCTGCAGCCATGTTAGCTGAAGCTTTGTCATATTTTCTGCATCTTTCCTCCCTGGTTTATCCGATTTTTGCTCCCTGCATGCATCCTGAGCAGCTGCCTGTGAGCTCTGTCGATCAGCACCAGGTGAGAACCGAATGAGACCAGCTAGGATCCACTAACTGGAGCCTCTCACTGATATTTACTGACATATGTTACCTCAGAGGGGAACTTTCCACCTCTGTTCTTTCCATAAAACGGTCTTTGCTGCAAGTTGTTGGCTTCTATCTTTAATAATCTTCTGTTGTGGTGTGTGCCGCCCCCCCACGCTGCTGCTGTCTGTGTTTCTGTTTTAGTATCTGGGGAAATGGTTCTTCCAGGCGGCTGTCAGCCAGCGGCAGGTGGATATCAGCAAGTTCACCATGTTTGACAACATGGTCTTCACCATAGAGGCCACAGCCAACAGCACTCTGGTCTTTACTGGATACATGCGGATGTGAGGCATGAAACAGCAACACAAGTTTTAATGTATACAGCTACACACAGATTGTGTCACAGTATCCTTATGGGGACTTTCCTTTGACTTCTATTCATTTCCCTAACGCTAACCATCACCAACACATAACTAACCCTGACATAAGTCCAAAGTCTAACCCTCAACCCAAGAAGACAACATTTCCTCCAGCCCTTGGTCCCCACAAGTGCCTATAATCCCAAAATGTAGCATATTCCTGTTTAGATGCCTGTCAAAACTCGAACCACTTCGCGAAGCGGTCACGTGGTATCACGGTAGCGAGGCCTTGGACGTCATGAATTTTGGCCCCTCCCCTAAATGAATCACGCCTCAACACGCGCTTCGGGGCTTTGCAATATTCCTCAGATGAAAGAAGGAAATTCTAGAAACCTCTTTGATCTGGGATTTAAATGACAGGTCCTGATCAAAAACAACACCAAGATTTTTCACTTTATTATCTGAAATCAGTTTAATCCCATCCAAATGAAGTGACTGACTAATCAGCTTCTTTTTCAGAGACTCTGGTCCAAAGACTATAACTTCTGTTTTGTCTGCATTCAGAAGCAGAAAGTTAAGAGTCATCCAGGTTTTTCTGTCTTCAGACATGCCTGTAATCTATGTAATGGGTTAGCTTCATCTGGATTATAGACAGATATAGCTGGGTATCATCAGCATAACAGTGGAAATTAATCCCATGCTGTCTAATAACTCTACCAATTGGGAGCATGTATAAAGTAAAGAGAATTGGTCCTAGCACTGATCCCTGTGGTACTCCAAAGGTAACCTTTGAGCATGAGGAAGATCTATCATTAACATGAACAAACTGAATTCGATCAGATAGATCAGATTTAAACCAGTCTAGAGCTGTTTCTTTTATTCTAACAAAATATTCAAGTCTTTCTAAAAGAATATTATGGTCAACTGGATCAAATGCAGCACTGAGATCCAACAGGACGAGCACAGATACAAGTCCATTATCTGAGGCCATGAGAATATCATTAGTGACTTTCACCAGAGCTGTTTCAGTGCTATGATGAGCTCTAAAGCCAGACTGAAACTCTTCAAAAAGTTCATCATGGTGGAAGTGATCGCACACTTGTTTGGCAACTACTTTCTCAAGAATTTTAGATAAGAAAGGAAGATTGGATATAGGTCTATAATTGACCAAGTCATCTGGGTCAAGAGACGGTTTCTTAGGCAAAGACATCCAAGTTGAAGGCTTAGATGAAGACAATAGTTTTGCTAACTCTGAAAGTTCAACTGGATCAAAGCAGTCTAAACCCGGTTCAGATTCTATGACTTCTATGACTACCTCAGATGCTGCCCAAACCCCCCCCTCCAGAGACAAACCAATTGCAGATAGAGGAGTGCTTATGATCTTATTTTTAATAAGATCAATCTTATTAACCAGCGCTCTCCCCCATCCTCCTCCATGACGGTACCCTGAGCATGGTACCGTCCCGCCACACTGCTCCCTTGGGGCGCCATTGAGGGCTGCCCCCTTGCACGGGTGAGGCATAAATGCAATTTCATGGTGTGCAGTGTTCACTTGTGTGTGCTGTGTCACAATGACAATGGGAGTTGGAGGAGTTTCCCAAAGGGCTTTTCACTTTTTTCACTTTTTCACTTATTTATAAAGAATCCCATAAAATCATTGCTGCTAAGAGCAGGTGGAATGGACGGTTCAACAGAGCTATGGCTCTGGGTGAGTTTGGCAACTGGATTAAAAAGAAATCTAGGGTTATTCTTATTCTCCTCTATTAATGAGGAGAAGTATGCTGCTCTTGCTTTACAAAGGGTCCTCTTATACAGCAGTAAACCATTTTTCCAGACTAGGAAGGACTCCCGCAGGCCTGTGGAGCGATATTTTCTCTCCAGTTTCCTAGCATTTTGCTTCAAGGTACGCAGCTCTGCATTAAACCAAGGAGCAAGCTTTCTATCTTTAACGGTTTTCATTTTCAAAGGAGCTGCGTTGTCTAAGGCAGTACGCAGAGAACTAGCAACCCCATCAACCTCATTTATGCTCACATAATCCTCTTGCTGCAGCCAGGTTTCTGTAAGGCAACACAAGTCAATGTGATTATCACAAATCAAGTCATTAACTAGCAGACTTTTCCCCAATTGGAGTTATTTATATTTTAATAAGCTTATTAATAAGCTTATCTTGATTTACTCCTTTGGGAATATTTGCTAATTTATTAGATTTTGGTCGTGGGCAGGATGGGGTCTGGATGGAGTAAAGAGTGGGTAACAGTAGAGAAGCTGCAGAGAGGTCTGTTAAACTACGACTCTGCTTCCTGGTCCAATTCTCCTCATCTGACCCCCCAGTCAGAACCAGAACCAGAACCAGGCTCGGTGTGAGGTTAAACTGAAGGTATCGTCTTTACAGGAAAGCTGAAAAGGAAAATGAAGCTTTCATGTGTGGAAATCTGCATCATAGCAACACGGAAACCACAGGGGGGCGAAGGTCCTTCATTCAGAAAGGAAGCAAAGCTTATGAAACCCGAGGAAAATGATGCATGTGTAATACTAACCCTTAAATTTCACTTCCTGTCAATACCATGGGTCTGGTTTTATGCTCCTTTGTTGTTTCAGGGGAGAGGCCTGCATTAAATAGAACTGGACCTATTACATCCAGCCTGGCAGGGATGACCTGCTGCTGGAAGGTAAGAGAAGCACCGCCTGCTCCCATCCATCACCTATATCAGTGGTTCTTCCTGGGTTAGAGCAGCTGATTTCACTGCCTGAAGGTAATCTGAGAAAAAAAAAGGGAAACAGGAAAAGAAAAACAAATTTCCATGAGAACTTCATCAGTTCCCTTCTTCAGAATATTACGGAGGGCTGAAAGGGAAAGGCCTTTGTCTGGTTGTTGCTTTCTGTTGCTTATTAACTTTATTACATCATGTTAGTAATAAGTTCATCTTTGCAGCAAACATAAGGTCATTTCCTTATCCTGTGTTCCACAGGAAGTTCCCCCATTTTAGCTTCACTGTAGTTTATATTGAATCATTTCCTTTATTTAGGCTGAGGTATGAAGAGAAGGAAGGAGGAGGATTTCTACTTGGAAGGACACAGGCAGCGTGATGCACCATGAAATGGTCTGTGTGTGTGATGAGGCACGGAGGGAGACGTATGTGGATCTGGTCTCCCTCTAAGGGTGGTAGGGATGGAGGTAGTGGTGTCCTGGTCTGTAGTCTGTCTCTGTAAACTGGGCTGAGGATCGAGACTAAATCTGGTAGATTTTCTCCTCGGTTCATTAAAATAAATCTTCCCACTGAGAAACGATCTTAATTATTTAGCCGTTAATGAAGGAACCATCAGAGTATCTCTGCTGTTAATCCAGGGAGGCCTCAGCGAAGGAACCTGCTCTGGAACGGTGCGTGGGCCAACTGCCGCGACTGCATAATCTTCCAGGAAGTGGAACCGCCGCAGACAGAGGCCGACTCCGTAGACTCCCTCAACAGGTTCATGCTGTATGGTAAGACGTCTGTAGGATTATCGTTAAGGGGCGCTTCTCTGGTCTGGTTGGTTCCATCCGTCGTTCTGTCTGATGGCTTAATGGATCCGTTTTCTGTGCTCTGACCTGAAGTACGGCAGAAGGACTCGGCGTCTGAGGTGGTGACAGCTTTTCTCAGGAACTCAGCTTGCCATAACCTGAAGCAGAGCGTCCGACTGCCGCACCACAAAGGTTATTATCTTCAGATTCATCCTGGTCTGGATGCTAACCTCCTGCTTTATTTATCCAAACTGTTTGTGTTTGCAGAGTATTGTGCGTAGAAGTGGGAGGGGCCATTCCTGCTCCAGCACAAGCCCCGCCCCTTCCTGGCACTGTGAGAGCATTGGACCTTTGCAACCGTCATCCTTCGTGTTTGCTTTCAAACAGTGACATAGAACAGATTAAACAGTGATTGTATTTTTAAAATAGACGTAAACTGTGTTTATTTTTTAAGGTTAATTAAAGCTTGTT